ATGAGAGAAACGTTCTGAAGTTCTTCCCAAGTCTGTCCTAGGGGGAAATGTCATTTTCATCTGAGATTTCGTGGTCAGTCTGTCCTTGAGCATGGCAGCAAAGTGCATTAGGTAGAAGACTTCAGAAAAGGAGGATTATGTAAATTATTTAAATTATCTTTCTTCTCTTTTGAATGCTGTGACCTGCCTCTGATAAATACCTCATACAGGGGACCCTCAAATCCAAACCCAAAAAAGATCCCATTAAGTCACCACTGGCATCTTGACCCCTGATGTTTAATTGCAGGCACTGCCTTAATTCCCAGGTACAGTGTTACAGGTATTTGCCAGGCTGTGCAGGGACTGTGGGGAGAGTCCAGAGGGGAAAAGTCCCCCATTGGGAAAGTCTAGAGATTCCAAAGTCACAAGCAATCACCTGTACATTACAGAGTAACAGCAGCTTTGTGTACATCTGAACTGTCTTGGGGCAAATGAAAATAACTCTATGTTTTCCAGGTAGGAAGCTGAATCGCTGTCATGGGTGTGTTTAAATGAGAAATAAATTAGGACCTTCTCTAACTTAAATGCAGCAATTTACTGGATTGCCATTCATTAATAATACACACTGCCAATAATTAGATCTCACTCATTATCAGTCTTTTCTCATATTCAGGGCAGTTAACTCTTAAAAACCTTACCCCTATTAGCTGGGAAGATCCAATACCACAAAAGTGCTCTTGTATATCCGGCATAGCTTACATAGAAATACAAATGCAAACATATCCATATAAATGAATATTCTGTACATTCATATATAGCTTGATAATTCTCTAAATGCTTTTTTTTATAGATATGTACATGCTCAGCTGTGTGCTTGTTGGTTATGCCACCAATCTGACAGCCTTGCAAGTTGCCAAATGCCCATACACATTTGCAGTATGCATATGTCTGAGTTAGAGAAGCAGATACTAATTATATCTTGCTTTTACTATGAAACTTCTTTTTTTTGTGTGTGTGCATCAGGCCTCTACCTTGGCTACTTTGTGTTGTATTACACTTTCATTATGCAAAAACTTCCACAAGGATAATTTATAGATCTTTATGTTCTAAATAGTCAAGGTGGGGAGTGGGCACAATGAGCGATCCTGAGATCCTTCCTGTGCTGGTTTAAAGGTAAACCGGCAGGGGAAATGAACCCAACTCAACAGAGAGATTATAAGTCAGAATAACAATTTAATAAAATAATACAATAAGTACGATTATACAGACAAACAACTGGTTTTAACCCACGAAACCCAAATGTCCCCAGGGGTGACACAGTACCAAATAGCCGTATTTTCAGTAACTGAGTATAAGAATGATGAAAAATATGCAATCCGTGTTTCATTTTTTATGAAGGTGATTCTTGTTTTTTTCCCTTTGTCAAACAGATAAAACAGGTTTTTTGTTGTTGGTTTTTTTTCACCTTTTGCCCCCTGTAAAAACCATAAATATTTTGAATTAAAATAAAGTCACTATTTTCTCATCAGTTCTAGGAGGTCTGTTAAGGTGTGTTCTTTTTGTTAAAACATTCTTTAGGTGATTGTTGCGCACACATGGACTGTTTAGTTGTGGAGACTGTTGCTTTTTCAGTATCAAGCTGTCTTGGTGGCTGCTGAAGTGATATTAATCACTTAACCTAATTAAAAGGTGCAAGCACAGTGGCTTCTGCTCTCACCTGTTGTCAGTGGCCTTCTGCAAAGCTGGGAATCTGCTTTCCTGATCAGTTTTGTATTAAAAATAACAGGCACAGAGTTGCTAATTGGAATAAAGCGATTAGTGAAGTTTAATTCTCTGTATTGCCTGATGTGATAGTGACATCCAGATGTAGCCTGCGAGTTAAAGGCTGACTGCTATTAAACAAGGGACAGGATTCATTAGTTGGTTTTGACTGGAGATGACAAAATCGAGCAAAAAATATTAGAGAACTAAGAAGACATGGCCTACAAGGAAAGGTGGATAGTATTATTTAAGAAAAGAGAGGAATTAGGGAATACATGATGAATTTTAAAATAAACAAACTTCATTTCAAGAAGAGCTCAGAGTGTGTTTTTGGTAGCGTGAAATCTGTAGATTAGTTTGGGGACTTTGAACATTATGATTATGAACAGTATTGGTGTTTTCCAAGATGTCCTCCTTTCTACATCTCACCCCTCAGGAGAGGCAAAATTACAGATGTTCATATTGAAATTTGCCCTTCATTTGTTGTTGAGGGAGAAACAAAATAGAACAAAAATAAAACATTCAAATAAAACAATAATAACAACAACAACAAAAAAAAAAGGCAAAAAATCCCCACAAAAATTTACAAACAAATTATGTTTTCTTCAAAATATTTTAATATTAAAATCACAAAAATATAATAATACTTCTTAATTGTCTAGCAGTTGATATTTTTCATTTTATGTACAACTTGTGTAATTATTCTTTGCTTTTGAAAGACTGAAAAAATAAATCTCTTCCACCTGTTATCACTCATATCCACTTCTACACTATATTTAGTCTGCGTAGAAAAACAAAGCAGAGTACAGCAAATGCACATTATTAATGTATTCTAGTCCACTTAATGCAGTATTTCAGAGGGATGCCTGAACAATTTGAGGTTTATGAAATAAGGGGTTTTTTTATGCCTGTGATCCATGGATAATAACTCACATATGTGTTTTTACTTCCTTTTTTTTCTTTTTTTTCTTTTTCTTTTCCCCGAGTCATTTTGTTGGGAACTCAAAACTTAGATAAATCACAGTCAAGGAGTTCTGGATTTGGGAGAATTATCAGGGAAAATGACCAAGAAATAAGAGCTGGTGGATAACCTTATAATAGCCCAAGCATATTTTTATGCTTCATTAGCAGATTGGTGTGTATATATTTTAAAATTACAGCTTAATCTTGTTTTAATTGTCTGTCTAAAAGTGATTTGATGAAAAGCAACCATCTCAAATCAAGGGAAGGCACTGAGATGATATTTCTGCAACCAAGTGCAGCCTGTGTTTTAGTGCTGACTCTGCCAGTAGCATATGAGCTATAGGGTACATATTTGCATTTAATTCTTTTTCGTAAGTAATGTATTTATTCAGACAAACAAATACACTGTGATAATGAGTTTGGCCTCAGGAGGAACTGTAAAAAGGCCATTAATAAGCATATGGAATATGGATCGAGTGCAGGATGCAACCTGAATAGCTAACTGACTATACCAGTGGAAATCCTGAATTCCTGGGAACTTCTCATGTTCTCCTTTGTGTATTTTTACAACAGATATGAAGATACAAATAGCTTTTTGTAGATGTATGAGGTGACTGTTTAGTTCGAAACCTCCACACTTGCAATTATTTTGATAGTCTGTTGGTCAGGATCTTTGCTTAACAGAAAAAAAAGTCCTGAAACGGTGTGTTTGCTTCCGTGATTTTTTTCCCCCCAAAAGCACTAAATAAATAGGCACTTGCTCTCCTTCATTATTCCTTCATTTGGTTGCTAATGAAAAATGTACCATGTCTTTTTTCGGTACCATTTAAGAAATCTTCTTTCCATTGACCTTTTCGGAAGGCAAGATAATTCAAGTGATAATCTGAAGAGGGAAGCATTGATTTTTAAAGACCCTGTTTTTCAAATCAAATGGCAGCTACTTGTCTCACACTTGTGGGGACCTATTCTGCAGAAGGAAGTGAACCTTCCCACTACCACTGAATTAACTGAAGTTTGTTATTTCTGAGAACTGGCACATCACGTATCTGTTCTCCACTCCAGAGATAAACAGCCGAGACCAAAGACAGTGAAGTTACTGTAATTTAAGAATTAATTTAAATGTTTCCAAGGGTTATGTGGGTTTCTCCATTAGAATTAGGGATTGAAGAATTAGAATTAGGGATTGGGGCATCTTTCCTGATACTTCAAGTATATGTTGCCAGGTTTTCTAATTTAGAAATCCATTTGTCTTCAGCTGAAGCTTTGTCTGCATGCAAATTTATTATGTACTTAAAAATTTGCCTGAAACGTTGCACACTTATGGTATTAATGGTGTTGCTTTCATGTGGTATGAATTTGTGAATTACACAGTGTGTAATTGTGGAGTAAGGGATGGAACACATATTATACTTGTATTTGAAACCAACACATTGCCTGAAAATAGCTTTAGCACCACAAGGTACCTCTGTTATTCATATTGAATGTTACAGACATTCAGTTTGATCCTTTTACTTTCGATTTCTTCTCTGTCTTCAGACTTCAATTGACAGGAAATAAGTTGCTGCAAATGAGTTTGATCTGTGCTTGTTTGAGGTCCTTCTGTGTGTGATGGATTTTCTATCTGCATTCTTTTTGCACTCTCTGTTGGGTTTCCTTTGCTTCAAATTGATGGGAAGGACCAAGGCAGATACAGTTGTATGGGGTCACTATGCAGAGTAAGGCCATAGAGGATCAGAAGGAAATTCCCAGGACATTCTGGGTAAAGCACAGGTTAATATCCAACTGGCTCAAAATAAACTGTTTGTGTGATTCAATCAAACAAGGTAAACTGCCTTGGTAAATTCAGGTTACAATCATGGGACTTCTTAATTTGAAGAATAATCATCAATCTTTTGGTGGTTATGTCTCCATTAAGACTGAAAGCAGATTCTGAACCGGTAGAAGTTCCAAATTAAAGCCAAGTTATTCATCCTGATTCTTTGGGTAAAATTACTATTGAAATTACCAACAAATTTTTACAACTGCTTCCCCAGCTCCCATTTTAAAACTTCTTTCTTCTTTGTAGTAGTGTATAATCATCCAGAGCTTATGTGCTCACCATGGGCACTTTTATCACTGTGATAAAAATTTACAAATGGGTTCCCACTTTAAAGTAATCGTGCTATTACTATAATGTTTTTTAAAAATAAGGTTTTAATCAATGTGATGTGATTTACCAGACAGAAAAAAATTTTATGTTCTATCTTTTTTGTGCTCACTGAACTTTGATTTTGTTGTTTTGTTTTTTTTTTTAACAGTGATTCCAGAGTTTATTAGTCAAGTAAATATTGCATTAGAGAGCTTAAGTAAGAACACAGTCCATCTGTTTGATGATAACCGGTTTGTGGACATTTCTAAGAAGGTGTATGATGCGATTCACAACATCAGGTGCTCAGTCATGATGATTCGGGTGAGTTTTTAATTTGTTCTTTTAGTATCCATTTCTGAGACAGTTCAGGACATCAGGGCATTTTGAGGAGAATTTAGAACTGTGTATGTGATCAGTGCCCCTAAGCTCATATCCAGGTTGAACTGATCTGGGAAATTTGGATTACCCTGAAACACACATGATTGTAACTCTAGAAGTGTAGAATTGCATGAGTACAAAACCAGAATGTTGCATAAAAATGTCTTTTGTTCTTTAAAAGTAGTTAGTTATGTTTGGTTGATAAAAATCTTCATTCTCTTCATTAATTATCAACTTGCAGCTACAAACCCAAATCTGCAGTTCTCCAGCTTTAACCTGTGGAATGTAGGAACTTGAGAGTATATTCAGGTGATTCTGATAATCCTTTCTTGGAGTTTTTTCAGCTTCCCATCACATGACTTCACAGCCTGATTTCTGTCAATCTTACACAATTACAATCACTTACTCTGGTGTTTTTCCTGCAGTTTGAGAAACTGCTTCAGAACCGCTTATTTTTAAAATCCGAAACAGAATTTTGTCAGAATTTGCAGAATTTGCAGAATTTTGTCAGAATTGCAGAATTTCTCCCAAACATCTTCAGTTCATAAATTCCACTTGAAGTGATAAAAAACCTGAGCTGTAATATATGGAGGTTCGGCAATTTTGTTTTTAAATGAAATTAAGCGTTAATAAAAATATATATAGACTTTTTTCAGAGGAGGTTTGTCTTCTGCCTTGACTTTTCAGTTGAGAACAAAGTTATTACTCATTTCTTTTCCTTTAAATCCGAAAACATTCCAGGCTGGCATGACCAGCAGGTCATGGGAGGTGGGCCTGCCCCTCTGCTCCGCTTTGGTGAGACCCCACGTGCAGTGCTGCATCCAGCTCTGGGGTCCTCAGCACAGGAGAGACATGGACCTGTTGGACGAGTCCAGAGGAGGGCCACAAAAAAGATCCGAGGGATGGAGCACCTCTCCTGTGAGAAAAGGCTGAGGGAGAGTTGGGGTTCTGATGTGAAAAATATTAGTCTTAACATGTGTAAGTTGAAATGTTTCACTAGGAATTTCGATGTGCAAAATGATTAATATGTGTCATCTTTATTGCAGTTGTCAATTAGGAAATTGTTTATATACTAAGGAAAGATCCTGAAACATCCAGCATCTTGCCCATACTAGTAAAACTTTGTGAGCTGGATTTACATGGCAAAACAAACCAAAGTGAGGCTTATCCTCTGATTAGTTCCTGTTTCGGTGAACATAGGCTAAGAGGATGTCTGATTTTTTTTCTAGATAGTTAAACTTCATTTAATGCCTGCATTGCTCATCCCACCTTCCCTTAGTGAATCAGGGACTCCTGCTTTTTTTTTATGATTGCAGAGTTGCTTCTGTCTGTTCCTCAGTGAGATCTGAATCTTCTGTATGTTCAGTCTTCTTGGGTTTGACCTCCAGCTGATTGTGGTTGACTATTCCTTTATGGATTTTTTAATTTTTGGGAAATTGGGAAATACACTGAGGAGCATAACAAAGCTTCAGTCAGCTTCTATGAAGACGCAGGCACAACTCTGCAGGAAACTGTATTTTCTTAGTCCTTTGTGGTGTGTGTGTGTGAACAGTAACTCGGAAAAGGATATTGTATCCCCTGTACTTCTTTCTGAAGCATGAGGGTTAAATAGTGAGCTCTGAAGAAACTGTAGATAGTCACAGTGCCCAGTGCACATACACTGTGTGAATGCAGGGTGCATCCCTAAAATCACGAGTTCATTGCACACCAAAAGGGACACTATTAATATGAAGATTTCTGTCAGTACCATCTTGTGCTTCTGCTCTGCAAGTCCTGACAAAAGGTCAGGAGGTTAAAAAAAAAGAAAAATCATTAAAAGGGACATGTGCAGCTTTGTCCTTAATGAATACCATTATTCAGGCACAGTCATGAGAGGATTTTTTCGAGGTTTGGTGAAATGTTAGCCGGTTCCTCCACCACCCCTTAGAAGCACTGACTGCCAGTGCAGAGAAAGCGTGGAGGAAACCCTGGCATTCGTTTTCTGAGTGAGGATGTATTTGCATTCCTAATTAGATACATTCCAGACAATGCCAGTTTCCTTTCAGTGCTTGTAAGAAGCTTTAGTAGGTCTGATGGTTATTCAGACATACGCTGTTGGCACAGCAGCCAAGGTGAGGAAATAGAAGTGTTCTGTGGCCAACTTACGGGGGCTTGCAGGTGGTGCCAGAGAACAACGGGTCGCTGATTACAGGGGATTACAAAGCTGAATCAGGATAAGAAATTGTTGATCAAAATATAATTGAGAAATGTAAATGAACCAAGACCACTCATTCATGGGGTGGGGGGCAATTTTTCAACATCAAAGTAAAAGCAGACACTCTCTAGATCAGTTGCTCAGGAAGCATTTCAAGCATGTAATTACACAGAGAGAATGTTTTTAAAAATAGCATTCCTAACTGTAAAATGCTGCCCAATACTGGTGTTAATGCAGATTATCAGCTATGCATTGCTATGTTCAAGCTTAACCATAGGTACATAAAACATTCATTTTGGTCCTGCAGGTATAATGTGAGTAACACTTGAGAGCAGCTAAATAGTGGAGGGTGTGTTGTACTGCTGAGCTGTAATAGGAATGCCTCTGGAACTGCACAATGCTTCCCTTAAGATGTTTTCATTGTTTCACTAGCAAGGATTACTTAATTCAAGGGTAGCTGTTGATTTGAAACCACTGGATAGGTGATCCAGGGCATATCCACATTCCTCAGTCATTTTTTGACTCATTAGACATCTGATTTTTGTTAGACTATAGAGACTTTGTCAGCTTGATTTTGCACAGGAACATTTGGACTCTGGATAGCATTTTAGTCAGGATATTGATGTTATGGACATAGGTTAAGATAATTAGTACTATTAAAGACAAGAATTCTGCCATGTGAAATATCTAGCAAAGTCAAGGGAAACAGGTTGACAGTTTTTGAGGCAATACATACTGAATGCTGCATAATTAAAGATTAATCCTAGAATGTCTTAAAGAAAAAAAAGAGCTTCTGTATGAAGTTGTTTTTAGTTGAAGAATATGAGACAGCTGGACTGTAGTAACAGCTAGTAATATCCCATTAGGATATTAAACACAGTGGAAAGTAGTGACTTCAAATGAATAACAGCTACTCATAGCTGAAGCAGTAATAAAGTCATCCTAACAGAAATATACCAAGAACAGTGGAAAAGAATTCACCGAGTTAAAAGTTTCACCAAATTCTTTGTTTTTATTGGAGGATAAAGAAGTGAACAACTGTAAGTTTTTCAGACATAAAGAAGAGGGCAAAAGGTTTGTATACTCTCTGCAAAATGCTTTTACTACACTTATGTTCATGGAAGCAGTGAATGAGGAACACATGTTCCATATTTTTAGGAGAGATGGAAAATGTATGTTGAGACTGCAGTTCTTATCTGATACAGTGCATCATTTTGATGCATTTTTTAAAAATCTTACCTACTGAATGTGTATTCCATCTGCTGTTTCTTTCAGAATTCTGCCCTGGGGACTGTAGGTTCCCTCGAGAGTTTATGGTGTCAGATTTTCTGAGTTTGTTTTGCACAACCGTTCTCTTCACCGTTTGTGCATGATCTCCACCCCCCTGAAAACTGAGGCAAAGCATTCATTTTGCTTTTCTGTCTTACCTAGATACTTTCATTTCAACTAGATCTTCACTGCATCCGCAACCCATTGCCTGTATTTCTATTTCTTTAGCTAATAGTCTTCTACTGTAGTTTTTCATTTCCTTTGAAAACTCAAGCTCAGTTTAGCTACACATTCAGGTGTCTACAGTGTAATGCTTTTCAAAATGTTTTGGCTTCCTGAGAACACTCTTGGAGGGGGTTCCCTTTTTCTTCTTTTTTTTGGTTGCAAATTCTTTGTGGTTTTTCATTCTACTTTAAAGAAATGTAAGAGTTCATCCTTAGTAGAGGTTTTGAGCTCTTTGATACATTTGATTTCTCTCAGTAAGAGACATCACAGCAGACTACATTCTCTTATACCCAGCAGAATCAGAGGAATTTTCAGAACATGGACCTCTTGGAAAGGAAGACAGCAAGTGGTGAAAGCCCTTCAGCCAGTGTCTAGTTTAAATTCTACCTTGGTTTTTATTAATGCCAGAATTATCCTACACATGCAGAGTTTTCTGCCTGTTTTCACTTCTGTAGTACAAATGAGTTAGATCCTGTCAGATGCAGGCAATAGCAGCCACGAATCGGATCTCTGTTTAAAAGTTAGAGAAAACAAAGTAAAGCAGGGAACCATTTGAGGGAAAAAAGACATTTACTGCATCTTTTAATTGTTTGTTTTTCCAAGAAAGCCCTGAGACCTCATGGGAGAGAAAGACAAGGAACAGTTCAAACAGCCTTGGTAAACTTCATTGTGGTTGGTCTGAAATTTGTGAGTGATGCTAACCCATTACAAATATATATTGGAAAGTTTGATAAATGCCCTTTTCTTCATTTTTTTTTTCCTATCCTACACCAATTGCACAAGGGGCAGAACTTCTGCAGCAATAGTTTTCCACTTGGACCTGCACCTCTCAGCACTTTCTGGTCATTTCTGACCTAAGTAGGTCAGAGCTGACCTTTCCTTCCTCAGCTACTTGTCAGCTTAAGTCCTGTCATCCAGAGATTGATACATCTAGAAACAATGTGACTGAAAAAAAAATATAGTATGTGATGTCTTTAAAAAATAGTGTAGAAGAAATACTTGTTCTCTGTTAGGGATAGTTGGGTACCTGTTCCTTTTTCAGATTTTTATCCTGAGTCACATAAAAGGTATTAGTGGGGAATGTTACATTTGTGCTGCAGAACCCAAATTAGAGGTGAGTTAAGACTGTTTAGTGCCAAGATCAAATATGCATACTTGCAAGTAAAAGCTTCTGACAGCTACTTGTCCCTGCCATATTACTTGGCTTTTTAACATCTCAAGTCAGGATCACCAACCTTGACGTACCATTATTGGG